TGGTTCCACACTACTGCCCCGCTTCCGTGAGCGGAGTAGGCTGGTCACGGACACGAGGCCATCATTTCCTCCTAATTCAGGTGTGCGGGAGGGCTGGCGTTGCGCTGGTCCCAGAGCTGTCGGGTTGCCTGGAAGTCCCTTGGGAGTCAGGAGAGGTGCGCTCCGACAATCCTGCTTTCGCTTCCTCGTGTCCTAGATCCCAGTTTTCAGGAGTGAATACTCATTTGGAGAAGCGGTCTCCCAATTTCAGATGCCTTGAAGGGGACTGATTTTCAGAACACAGGACGCTGGCAAGGAAGATCCTGTCTTTCCTCGGCAGATAGAGCTGCTCTGCAGTGTCTCAGGCTCTCCAAGTGTTTCCATGCCCGTGTGTTACAGACACACCTGTATAAATACTTGTTTGCCCACAAAAATCACAGTAAGGTGTAAGGATGACAAAATGTAAAGCAAATACGAGTGATCACTAGCTATTGCAGCATGGCTCTGCCACCTGACTTAGAACAGGTTGACTGGGAGTTTGGAAAGGCAGAGAGTTCGAACTGTGAAAAGAAAGAAAAAGGAGCAGAAGCGGAGGTGGTGTGTTTCTCTTATTATTTCTAGTGGTGATGCAGCGTAAGGTCCAGAACCTTCTCCCTCCCTGCTGATAGATGTGTTTGTACTGGCAAGGCTTCAAGCTGGTATTCCCACTGCACCAGTTAAACCAGTAGTTACCAATTTTTTTGCAAGCCACGCTGGGACTATAGGAATTTTATTCCTTCACAGTGTTGAAGGAAAGGGGGTTTGCTTGCCAAAGGGCTTTCTTATGCTTGAGGATGATTTATGGGCCAAGCTGAGCCACTTGTGGAAAAGGCAAAGCAGCTCTTGGCAGCACCCCCAGAATCCACTGCAGCTGTGGGGTAGTGAAGTCATCGGCATAACAACCACTGCAAACAGAATAACAAAGTCTGTTCTGTTCTCGTTTAAAATAATCTTTCCAGTTCAGCAACCAGATTAAACCTTACCTTTCTACATACAAAAATAATCAGAGGAGATAGTTCTCTCCAGCGTGGTGTGGATGTCTCTGTTATTGCTGCCTGCCACTCCTGCACCATCTCCACCTTATCGACGTGTTTTAAACGAAGGAATGAAGCTGCATTATGTCATAGTTTGTGTCTGTCCCTTATTTGCACGTCTTTGTTTTTCCTTAGGTTTAAAATCACAGAAAAAAGACATAGTGTTTGTTTCTTTTAAATAAAAACTTTGCTTTTGTCTTATAACCTTTTTCTAAGCTGACTGCAAAATTACTAATTCTGTCTTTGATTTTTCCTGCCTGTCTTTGTTTCAGGTCCCTTCAGATCCTCCTGCTTCCAAAAAGCCCAAAATAGATGACTCTGTTTCCCAGTCTCCAGCTTCTACTGAGAAGGAAAAACAGTCCAGTTGGTTACGGTCCTTATCCAGTTCATCTAATAAGGTGATTGCTGAATATTTTGTAATCAAAAGAGGTGAAAATAGCATGTAGCATCCCTGTACTGAAGTAAGCAAAATTCCTTCATGCCTTTGAGGTGCAAGAATCCTGACAGAGACCCAGGAGCCTTTTGTGGTCTCTACTAACTACATGTAACTAATTGGCAAAGAAAAAACGTGAGGTTTTACGTTAGCATAGTTCACCTCTTCCAGAGAAATCTGCTAAGTGGGTCCTAGCCAGTGGGGGATAACAGAATGTGTACTGAAAAGCATCCTTAGCACTCCGTGGTCATTACAGTTTAAAGGACTGACTGTATTTACTTTATTTTCTCTCCTCTCCTTCCCAGAGCATTGGCTGTGTCCATCCCCGTCAGCGTCTCTCAGCTTTCCGGCCCTGGTCCCCCGCTGTATCAGCAAACGAGAAAGAGCTCTCAACCCATCTTCCCGCATTGATCCGAGACAGGTAGGGAGACACGAACTGAAGGGAGAGTGAGGTTAGCAACCGTGGAGGTGTATTTGACAGCAAGTTGCTTTCTGTTTGTTCCCTTGCACGGTGAACTGCTGGCTTTGTCATTGTCAGTCCACCAGAATCGGGTTAAAAAGCATTTGCAGCTGCAGTGTTTTCCTCTACAGAAGGGAAACAAAAAAAGTAGTGATGTTTTGTGCATTCATTAAATAGGTTTTCTTAGGTGAAACATGCCATGAAAGTCTGAAACTTTAGACTCTTCAGATGAGCTGCATAAATCATCTCCACGTTTACATGAGTGCAGCACAGTAAGCAAATATATGGGTGGATTCTTAGCTGGTGTAAATCAGTGGAAGCTCGGTGTCACTCCAGTGTCACACATGGGTTGGGAAGCATTATAAAGCCCAGAGTGTGACTCTTTTCTCCTTCCTTTTGCCTCCCCCTCGAAAACAGTTTTTACTCCTACAAAAGCTTTGAGAATGCAGTGGCCCCCAATGTGGCGCTGGCACCTCCAGCCCAACAGAAGATCGTCAGTAACCCCCCCTGTGCCACCGTAGTATCGCGGAGCAGCGAGGCGCTGAGCACCACTGTCCAGCCACGGAAAAGAAAACTTGCTGCAGAGAACAACACAACTGTCCCAGAACCAGCAGCCACGGTTGCGGCCACTGTTACTGCCGCTGAAGAGGACAAGGAATCAGAAGCAGAAATTGAAGTAGAAACCAGGGAAGAATGTAAGTGGCAGTTATATCTGCCTTTATTTTTGTTCTTGGTGCTGGATTTCCCTCAGTAGCCCACAGGAGTTAGCTGTTCAGCTTGTGTTATTGTTTAAATATAATTCTGGAAGCCCAGTACCTCAACGGGGTATAAAACATACAGCCCTAAGTACTAATGAAAACCAAGAATGGAACAGAAGCTGGGGGGTGTTTTCCTGGGAGAGGAATGTGCGTCCGCCTGAAGCACCTGACCCGTGGGTGCACGCTAGCCTCGACTCTTCCATTAAAGTGGGCGAGGGTTGTGCAGAGGACAAAATGCATGTGGTGGTCACGCCAAACGGACGGTTTGCTGTCTGATCACCAGCCTTCTCTAAAAGCTTTGTAGGTTACATACAAACAGCCTGTAAAAATTCTGGAGTGCAGACACACACAAGTGTGGAATTTTGTGTCAAACGACGTGGTCACACGGTTTCAGTGCTGCATCCAGGGAGCTGGATGCATAGAGCAGAGATCAAGAGCCAGCGCGTTCTTAACCAGTATCCGGTAGTGGGGTGAAGGGTGAAGGAAGACACCTCGTTAATGTCACCTAGATAATTCTCCTGCTGCCCTCAGTATGTTCGGTCCTTGGTGCATGCAGTTTATGCAAAAAGAAGAAATTTTATCTGCTGAAAACCACAGGGTCATGTAGGTTTCCCTGAAGAAATCTTTTCTTTATGCCTATGGATAAAAGTTTGTGACATAAATTCCAAAGTCACAATTCAAGCAAATTGGAAGCTGGTCCCTGAACCAGTCAGGTTTGCATCTTCATCACATTTCAAGTATCAAAGTATAAAACAAATATTTTCTTTCTTCCATTTTTTCATTGAATATTGAGTATCTCCTCTGTACAAAAAGGCCTCAGCATATTTTGAGTTATTTTTTAGACATTTTTTAATTTACATTTTAGACATTTTTTATTAATTTTTGATGTTTCTATTTTTCAGTCACCTCCTCCTTATCCTCGCTCTCCTCCCCATCCTTTACTTCATCCAGCTCCGCAAAGGACATGAGCTCCCCGGGGATGCAGGCCCCAGTCACAGTCAGCAGCTCCTACGAGGCTGCCGCGCACTCTGACTCTCACAGCAGTGGGCTGGAAGCTGAGCTGGAGCACCTAAGGCAGGCCCTGGACAGTGGCCTGGATACAAAAGAAGCCAAAGAAAAATTCCTTCATGAAGTTGTTAAAATGAGAGTGAAGCAGGAAGAGAAGCTAAATGCTGCCTTGCAAGCCAAGCGCAGTCTCCATCAGGTAACGCTGGGAAGCGGCTTTCTCTTACCTCTTCCAGGTAGAACCCCTCAGGTGATCTCCTGTAAAAAAGAATTGCCTCCTCTTTGCCAAGCGGCAGCAGCCTGTCCTGGGGTCGGGAAACCAGAGGGTACAGGAACCGTTCCTGCATTTTTAAGCTTGCCACCTGTTTTGCCTTACGGTGTAAATCCACGGTTACCAAACTCAACGTCCCCTCGTTACTGACAAACTCCTCTCGTCCAGCACAGTTTATTCTGTTTCATTTCAGTGAACTAGAAACGTTTCTGTCCTTACAGAGGCTTTAGCTGTGTTTAGAAATGCTGCTGGTCAGAGCGGGTATGGAGTGGTGCTAGGTAGCACCGGGTGTTGTGTTTCTGTGGGGGATGAAACGAGGCCAGCAGCTCACAGATGTGACCTGTCTGCACTGTGGCTGCTGTGTTTAAAACCCATCAGAACCCCCGATCCTCCCAACCCCGGGGTAGGTTCACGTGTTCTGCTGGTGGGCAGGAGGAGGTGACAGAGCGATTGTATTCCGTGCGTAGATATGATTGCAATTAGAATTTTAACAGAAGTTTGCCATCTGAAATTTCTGCAAGAGCTGCAGCGCAGCAGGACAGTTTCTGTGCCGCTGGGGTGAGGATGGTTTGTTCCGTCCCAGCTGCAGACCCAGGGGAGCCCGAGCGCTGGCTTCTCACCTGAACTGCTTGAGCAAATCACTTTGTTCCCTTGTGCTGCAGTAAATATATGTTTTATTTTATGCATTTAAAAGTAAATATTTGTCAGTAATATCTATTTAAAGCTGATTTTTAAATATCTAAACTGAACACACAGGGTGTGCTGGAAGCAGGAGCGACACGAAGCAGCACAGAGTGTGGAGGCGTGAACCGTGTCAGAGCGAGGGGCCGGGCGGTGCCTGGCCGTCGCGGGCAGCTGAGGGTTTCCAGCTCCACACACAAAGTCGTGTGTGCCGGCGCCCAGCGGCAGAGCTGCGCTAACAATGGCCTGGCCGGGAAGTGAGATTATCAAAAGAGTGAATTTCCCATGACCCGACTGCGGCGTTACTTAACAGAAACACGTTGCTGTGAGGGTTTGACTCTGACAGAGAGGAAATGCTGCTTCTGGGGGGAAAAAAAAATAAAATCAATCTTTAGTTTCTAATTTAACCATTTAGGAGACAGAACTTCAGTGAGCCACATTCCTGTGCTTATGACCTTACCATTATCACTCCAATGAACGGCTCTCCCTTGGATTTGCGATCTCAGGGTCGCAGCTCCTATTAAGAATCTGGACCGTGAGGGCGGCGATTTCCAGAGCAAAGCATGGTTTCGATTTAGCTCAAGGTTTAGCCTGGGGTTTGCCAGATGTTGTGACAGAGCAGTCCCCTGGCTGGTTGCCAAGAGGCTTAGGGCCACACGCCGGCCACCTCCAGCAAAGCAGTTGCCTGGAGTTAGAAAGAAGAGACACAATTTGTTTTTTCTCATACTTTAAGTGGATTTTTTGGGGGGTTGATAAAATGGAACTGCTGACTGATTTCTTCAGCAGGTAGTAACCATTCCTGTTCAGCTTTGCTGTCCACAAGGGCATTCACAAGTGGCGTTTATCACAACGGTGTGTATCTTCGGGGTCTTCAGTTAAGCTGCAGGCATTACACTTGGTTTGTTTGAGACTCCGAGCACACTGGTGGGAGCTCTCTCCAACCGCAGTTCATCTTTATTCAGTCGCAGATGGTCACAGCTCTTCTGCTTGACAAAGCAAAATGTGGCTGTAGCATTTAGCTTTTGTTATCCAAGAATTCCGGGTGCTTGAGCACAGGATCTCATGTTCATTTAAAGGAGAAAAGCTTGAAAGTTCAGAAGGAGGTTTAGGCATGAGCCTTCTTGGTTATAACCAACAGAAGGTGGGCGTTGAGTCTGGATCGCTGCCTTTGCAGGTCTACGCGGCCTCTGCTCCCCAGTTCTCACAAGTTCACGGCTTTTGTATTCTAGGAGCTGGAGTTCCTGAGAGTGGCCAAGAAAGAGAAACTGAGAGAAGCAACAGAGGCGAAGCGCAACTTAAGGAAAGAGATTGAACGTCTGAGAGCTGAGAATGAGAAGAAAATGAAGGAAGCCAACGAGTCTCGGATACGACTGAAGAGGGAACTGGAACAAGCCAGGCAGATCCGGGTGTGCGACAAGGGCTGTGAAGCCGGCAGGCTCCGGGCCAAGTACTCAGCCCAGGTAAGACCCTGTCTTGGTGTCAGGACCACC